TTTTAAAACTGGGAGCATGTTTTATTTCTACAGTTAGAACAAGAAACTAATAGTAACAATTGCAAACAAAATATTTCTGTCATATGATTTTGAATACCGCATAGGGCATTTGTTTTCACCTGGTAATTTACTCTTCTGAATTTTGTGCCTGCAGCAGCTTTGAAGTTTGAGTCACATAGTATAAATCAGTATTCATACTTCATCGGAAAAGCTTTTCCTATATAGCATGCTCTTAACAGCAGCCTTTACATCCTTGTTTCGCAGACTATAAATGAGAGGATTAAGCATGGGGGTCATCACTCCATAAAAGAGGGAGATGAGAGCCTCAATGATGTCTTGGTTTTCTTGATCAACCGAAGTTTTAGACTTGGGTTTCGCATACATGAAGAAGATGGTTCCGTAGAATATAATCACCACTGTCAGGTGGGCTGAGCAGGTGGAGAAGGCCTTACGTTTTCCTTCAGTGGAAGGGATCCTCAGAATGGTGGCAATAATAAAAATGTAAGAGATGGAAATAACTAGGAATGGAATAACCAGGACAACCAGATTTGACCCTGCCATGCTGATCACGTTGATTGAAATATCAGCACAAGCTAGTTTCAGGATAGCCAGAATTTCACAGACAAAATGGCTAATGACATTGTTAGCACAGAATGGTAACTGCATTGCAAGAGATGTCTGTACCACTGAGTCAACAAGCCCAGTGACCCAGGATCCGGCTGCCATGGGCACATAGGTAGCCTTGCTCATGATGACAGGGTATCTCAGTGGGTAGCAGATGGCCACATAGCGGTCAAGTGCCATCATGCCCAGGAGCACGCATTCTGTGGCCCCCATGGCAAAGGAGAGAAACATTTGCATCATACATCCAGAGAAGGAAACCCTTTTCCTTACTGTCAGAAAGCTGTCAAGAATTAGTGGGACAGAGGAACTTGTGTAGCAAATGTCCAAGAAAGAAAGATTACAGAGGAAGAAATACATGGGGGTGTGCAGGTGAGAGTCATAGATGATAACTGAGATAAGGACTCCATTTCCAAGCAGAATCATCAGGTACATCCACAAAACTAGCGCAAAGAAAGCCATCTGGAGCTTTGGGTGGCCAGAAAGCCCCACCAGTACAAATTCTGTCAACATGGAATCATTGGTCTTTTCCATATTACATATACCCTTTCTTCCACAGAAATCTATGCGTGATAGAACAGAAATCTGTTAATACACTGTCTGCAAGAGCTACTTCTTTCAAGAATCATATTCTCTGTTACTGCAGTTCTGTATTTAGACACAACAATATAACTCTGGGGAAAATTCTTACTGTAAATACAGGCCACTAGAGCAGGAATCCTAACCTGACTTTCTCAAGGTTAAGAGAAAATACATTTGATTATAGGACCCTTAGATCTCAAAGCATTTTATTGCCATTTTATTGCAAAATTCTGCCTCTTCACCTATTGGTTGCAACTCAGTAGCCTACAGCCTGGATTTAGCAGATGTGCTTTGTTTGGCAGTGATTGTCTGCACTGTGTTTAAATTTGAATTAGAGACCAACATTCTAATCAGGAGATATGGGATAGCAGTCTGTGCTCTTAGCTTGTCTTCAAATAAATTAGAATATTTGAGAACATTGGACCTGTTTCCAGCATGGAGCTCAGTTATAAGTGACTCATTGGATTTGAAGCATGTCTCTTCATTCTACCAGAGTATTCTTCTCACTCTCATCTCTTGTTACTGGAGGTGAATGTAAGTTGCCAACTAACAGGTTATTCTCAGTTGGTCTCAATCGTTTATATTACCTGACAGGATTTTATACGTACAGGCAGTCCCTGGGTTACAGATGACCTGACTTATGGAGTTCCATACTTATGAATGGGCTCCCAAGCCTCCTGATAAGGATAATTTATAATTAAATAATTAAATTAATATTTCAGTAACTAGTTTCTTCCATGCATGTAAGAGGTCCATTGTCACGGCATCTTTATGCTAGCAGTTAGTCTCATTGTTTCTACGGTTGCTTACACACAGCATCACCTACATCTTAACTTTTTAATTTGATTGTGTGAGTCTGTGTTTACCATTATGACCATTCCTCCAAAGCAAAAGGCCACTGCAAGTCTGGGTGAACCTGCAGCGCAGAGAAAGGTGATTACAGTGGAAATAAAAGTAGAGATAATTAAGTGTTTGGAGAAAGGCCAGACGCCATCATTCATTGGGAAAGTATTAGGCTGTAATTGCTCCACTATCAGAATAATTACACAGAATAAGCAAGAATAATGGAACATGTGAAAGGCAGTTCTCCAGTGAAAGCATCAATTATTACTAAGCAGTATAGTGGATTAATTAGTGAAATGGAAAAGTTATTATTGATTTGGTAAGAAGATCAATAAAATAAGTGTAACATTCCTATTAGCCTAGCATTTATGCAGCATTAGATGAGTGTTAACACTTACTATTCTTTTATGAAATGTATTCTATATCCTATCTAAACTTTTTCTATGAGTTTCTTTTTATGTTCTTTTTGTTTAAATTAAAATAACACAATAGTTGCTGTAACTTATTATTACAGTATTATACTGTATTATTATTACCACATGTGAGCCATTATAGTATTGCCATTATTATTATTATTATCACTGTATATGCACTTTTTATCAGGAATCCAAGTTACATACAAATCTGACCTAAAGACATTCTTAGGAACATATCTTGTTCGTAGCCTGGGGACCATCTGTATTTGAAACCTTGATCCATGGTTGTTGGGCTGACTTATCCATTAGGCACCGTAGGCTGCCATATAGTGAGGAACCTAGGAAAATGTTTTGGTTTCTTTTAAAATCTGAAGAAAATCGAGCTTCTAAGTTTTAATACATAATACATTTGTCTTTATATGAATGTAAAAGTAAAATATAACTTTTAATTTTTTTATGGGAAAAGGGCCCATGAAGGCAAAGTGTGCCTAGAGCCCATCAAAGTCATGATGTAGCCCTGGGTGGCTGAGCATCTTTTTAAAGCTCAGTCTGGCCTGCTGGTGGTACAGTAGTGGTTATATATCTGCATATCACCTCTTTGAAGAGAGCAACCTCATTGAGAAAAGGAACATATCTTTCTATTGCTCCAGTATCTTCCTCGACATGATAAGGAAGTATGTGTTCAAATAAATATTTTTTAAAAAATGGAAATGAATTGAAGGTATTTACAAACACAGTTTTATCATTGACTTTGATAAAAAGATGAAACGTGTATTGTAGGCTTCACCTCATGCACTAACAGTGCTTCTATCCAAAATACATACACTTAACTAGACCAGTGATATACAAACATTATTTTTTGGCAAATAAAGTTTATACAGAATTGTAACATATAAAACAAAAAGAGTTTCTCCAGCTAAAGTTACACCGTTAGCAGGGCAGAAGAAAGCACTGTTTTTTATTCTTATTTACTCTTTCTCCCTCAATTAAGTTTAAGTGGATTCCAAG